TTGTTGAGCTACTACCTGGAAGCTACTCTGTGGGAGAACAGCAGGAAGTGTCCTCCTATGGAGATTTACAGTCCAGAACCCAACGGCAAGTCACCTGGAGTCAGAATTGACTTGATGGTAGTGAGTTTGGTTGCCCTGGTTTATAGATTCTGGCGAGCAGCCTAATACTTTGACAGGTATGTGTTGAAAATATCCCAATCTACATTTAGTCTTTTCTTTCTTTAAGGTCTCTTTTAATGAAAATAAATCCTTACATTTAATGTAGTTGAATGTATCGATCTTATATATGGATTATGATTTGTGTTTTGTCTTGATGAAGAAATCCTTCCCTAGCCTGCGACTCGACGGCACTTAACAACAACAACAACCACCTGAGGTTATTACAATATTATTAATATTTTTTTCTAATATCTCTGGTTTTACAGTGCACATTTTGTACTTAACGTGAGGTTGGTTTTGGATTTAAATGAAAGGTGATTTTTAAAACACTGTAGGAGGTAAGACTTTATCCCCCTTATGAATACGATAAGGGGAAATTGCCCCAGGATCCTGCTGACATTTAACAGACCTATAGAGGCAAAGGTCTTTCTCAGGACTCCACTTTATTGCACTGGTCTCTGTATTTCTGTTTTTCCCTAATCCAATACCATACCATCGTTAACGTCTGCTGTTTTAGAAGTCTAATTCTTGATGCAAAGCCTCCTTCTTCACTTCATCTTCCTAACATGTCTATGGTTATATACAGATAGGAATCAACTTTGGGGGACTTTTATTAGACCTGCAAATTGTCCATAGATAATTTGGGAACATATTGGCTTCTTTGAAATACTGAATCTTTCTTCCATAAGCATGGTACATTCATCTATTTATTTATGTCTACTTAAGTGTCTTTCACTGCCATTTTATGTTTAGGGTTTCTTAATATAAATATATAAAGTCTTGTATGTATTTTGTTTGGTTTCTTTCTATGGAGCATGACTGTACTCTAACACACATGGGTTTGCCATACGTCAAAATCAACAACAACTGGGTATTTTTCCCCCTGTTTTAAATTTTTTTTTATCCTTATGTACTTTATTGTATGTTATTAAATTGTAATTTTAACTGTTGCTATGGTTTGGAAATATAGTTAGCTATGAATTTTCTCCATATTGCTACTAAACAACTTTTTAAATTCTAATGTTTGGATGTAAATTATTTTGGGATTGACATGTAAAAAATAATTTTAGCCGTGAATAGCAACAGTTTAGTTTCTTATTTTTATAATCAATTTTTATTCATTCATCAGATATTGGTGTTACATAATTCCAAAAATTCTTTTTTTTTATATTGATTGTATCTTACAGTTTGTCTGCTTATGGAGCATTGTTTGTTGTTGTTATGTATCGTCGAGTCATTTGCGACTCGTAGCAACCCTATGTACAACAGCCCTAAACCCTGCTCTATCCTGTGTCAACCGCACTGCCTCTGACACACCCATCCCGATTACCCCAGTCACC